GAATATTCTGCCAGTATTTACTCATATTATTTGATATACAAACAACATTGGACCCTATTGAGTTTTGTTGAATGAAGAAAAAAGAAGCATTTTTTTATAGAACAATCTTTTTTTATGTTCCACAGATGAAAGAAAGGTTTGGAATGACATGAGGGTGTGTAAATGAGGGGTGAATTTTCATCTATTTAATATATTTAAATAGCTCCTAAGGCCTCTCAAATGGAAATATGAGATCGGAGAATACTATCATTGTATTCTCTCTGAAATGATTGAAGGTTCAAGCAGGATGTTCTGTAGGTGAAATTTAATATGGGCAAACCATTTTAGCCATCTTTGGAGTGAGGTGAAGAATCATTTCTGTTCTGAATGGATGATTCGGAGCCAGAGGTGAATCATACAGGGGTTTGTTTGTATCTGTGCCTTTGATCCCCCTCTGATAGTCCCTACACCGCACAACATCTGTCACGCCGCATACCACAATCGCTCACATAGAGCTTCAGGTGATGCGGATGTATGGTTATTCCTGCCACACGGTCCGCATGGGCATCCCCAACGCCAGCGCTCATTAGCAGGCAGGTGGCGTTAGAGCTTCGACTGGGGCCGAGACGAGAAATAGAACCTGGCAAACTGGGTTGTACGTCCGCATCGGGTAATCCCCGCCAGATTGCCAGGATATCAGAAGTGACATCACAAAGCCAACAAAAATTAGCATCCCTAATGGTCTGCCAGGCCAAACATTATTCTTCATGATGAGAAGCAGTCATGCCTGCCCAGGGCTCCTGATGATTTGGCCAAAAGCAGTGGAGGCCCCCAAGTTCTCAGCTCCAGCCAAAACCAATAGGCTCTATTCTCCAACCCATGAAGACAGGTTCTACAATACCCAAAGGATGTTCCTGTGAAAAATCCTTGGTGCATCCCCATCATATACTGCTGATGCCTTCAGATTCTAGAAGATTCTAGAAGATATACAATTGAGACTCTCACCTGGCACTTGACTACCAGTGAATAACACCTTGACTAGATTTGGAAGCTAAAACCAAGAAAGATCAATGAGAGGAGAGGGGGAGAGTGGCAGATTTAATTAATTACTGCACATTAGAATGTTTGTTTACAAAAGTGAACAGTTACAAGGGGCCTGATGGTAATTAATTTAAAACGTACTTCCCCCTGTCCCTGCCTCGTGTCGGTAGTAGACGTGGTTGTTTCATGGCAGGTAAGCCTACGTCTCATTGGATTTCCATCAATTGCTCAAAGGTGTGTTTGAAAACAAAGATGCATGGTGCGCAAATTAGCCTGAATGTTAACATGATTGCATATTAAGAAATCTAATTAGGATTCCAGGGAATCAAAAGGGAAGAGCTGCATGATGTTGTGATAATGCATATCTAAGAGGAAAGTTTCACCATTTTCCATGTAAACCGTATTTTCTTTTTCATTCTCTACACTATTTTAAATAGATCTGTATATTCTTTCTGTGAAGATGACTTTATTTCCCCAACAATGTCACAGTGGTTGCATGTGTGTGTTTTCATCTGTGTGGTCAGGAGGTCTCTCGAGGTCCCCCTCCAGGACAATGATGTATTTAAGTCCCCTAAGAGGTCAGATGGACTCTGTCCAGAACATCACCTGCAATCAATAGTGTTGGTAAACCAGGCTCAACTGAGTGGCCATGAAGACTCCCCTTATAAACACGCTCGCAGAGAGGCCGGCATGGCCCATTGCTTTGCTAAAACTGCAACCAACATCCTGACACACACACACACAACACATGCCACCACTCTGAAAACAAGTGTTGATGACAAAGAGAAGAAAAATAACAGCACCTCAGCGGTAAGTGGAGAGCCTCCAGGTGATGAAATCCTCTCTAAAGTGACACAAAATTGAAGCAAATTGACAGCAATGTGAATGTGTTTATAAATGCTAGTGGGTGGTACTGCCGTGGAGCAGTGAGCTCACTGGAGTGAGAGTAGCCTATTTATTTATTTTTTATTTTATATATATTTTATTATTTTATTTGTTATTTTATATTTTAAAAAATATCCACCTTATACTCTTCACTATGGTATTTTGCTTCATTATTCTTGCTATTTTGATAGCTAAAATGTGCATAAATGTATATTAGCATTATTTCTGTCAGTCTAATAAAAAAGGAAACTACTGTATATTCACATTTATTTGTATAGCGCTTTTCACAATAGACATCATTTCATAGCAGCTTTACAGAGAATGCATGAGTCCACATTACAATTTAGACATTACAATTACAACTTAAACATAACTGTTATGTATTTCAGAAATGTACATATTACATTGTTTAAATTAATACATTTTTAGCTTTATTTGTATAAGTTTATCAATGTAATACTTTTATCAACAAACAATTAGTTGCATATACTTAAAAAGTTGAAAAATAACTTTTTTGTTTTGGTGGACTGTTTTTACATTATTACGTATATTTATTTATGTTCTACTTTGCCTGATTATAAAAATGTCAGCTTTTTGTATTTTTTATTTACCAGCAATACCCTATGCATTCAGCTTCACTCTGTCATAGGTTGTGCATTCTCCTTAACGCACAGGTGAATTGGGTGCACTGCTTCAATCAAGGCTTCACTATTGGGTTTGAGAGTCATCTGAGCCCAGACAACAAAAGCAAACGCTACAGTGAGTGTCTCTACTGTAAGTGGCTTTTGAAGAATTGGCACAGTCATCTGGCGAACACCTCACATCTCTCACAAACAAATGAAGGCCTGGTGCTTCAAAGTGAGATTGATATCTCTCTCTGAACTTCCACCAGAATATTCTGAATATTGAGAGAGGTGCACTCCTCCCACGGGACTGCCGAGGCGCCTCTCTCCTCCCTCGTTCCGCCAAAGAGGGGAAAAAAGATTGCCCCTGTAGATCTTCCATGTTCATCAACATTCACTCATTCATCGTGAGTCATGGCAGCTGAAATTTGGCCTAGTGTTTCTGAATAGATGACCCAGGGATCCACTTTGCTGCTATGAGGTTGTCTGCAATTGAGTTTTAGGATTAAAACAGAACAATACACAATTTTTTATCAACTTCAGAGTAGTCTATATATTTTACGCTATGACAGAAAACTTTTCAATTTGCTCTGCAAATTCTTAAGAGTACCCAGGCATTTAAGAAGACTAGAATAGTAGCAATGGAATAGATGTATCTACTTTGTCAAATATACGTTTTTTTCTATTCTTTTATTTTTCAAATGAAATGGAGAAGAAACTACTGCTAAAAAAAGTTGGTCATAAATCAGTATGTACTATTTGAACAGTTTTAAGCTGTATTGTATATAAAACTGTATAGTATAGGACTGAATTATTGTTATTAAACTAACCTTGCAAGAAGCACAAATGTCTTTGCACTTGCAATGTGCATGTAGACAATGTAATATGTACTATGTACCATTTTATGACAACACAAATGATCAAACTACATTTTTAAGTTTACTATATAAAACATACATACATACATACATACATCTTCTTCCGCTTATCCGGGGCCGGGTCGCAGGGCAGCAGTCTAAGCAGAGATGCCCAGACTTCCCTCTCCCCAAGACACTTCCTCCAGCTCTTCCGGGGGGACACCGAAGCGTTCCCAGGACAGCCAGGAGACATAATCCCTCCAGCGTGTCCTAGGTCTTTCCAGGGGTCTCCTCCCGGTGGGACGCGCCCGGAACACCTTCCCAGGAAGGGGTCCAGGAGGCATCCGGAACAGATGCCCGAGCAGCTCAGCTGGCTCCTCTCGATGTGGAGGAGCAGTGGCTCTACTCTGAGCTCCTCCCGAGTGACCGAGCTCCTCACCCTATCTCTAAGGGATCCCCCAGCCACCCTGTGGAGAAAGCTCGTTTCGGCCGCCTCTATACGGGATCTTGTCCTTTCGGTCATGACCCACAGCTCATGACCATAGGTGAGAGTAGGAACGTAGATTGACCGGTAAATCGAGAGCTTCGCCTTGCAGCTCAGCTCCTTCTTCATCACAACATACCGGTACATCGACCGCATTACTGCAGAAGCTGCACCGATCCGTCTGTCAATTTCCCGTTCCATCCTTCCCTCACTCGTGAACAAGACCCCAAGATACTTGAACTCCTCCACTTGAGGCAGGAACTCTCCACCAACCTGAAGTTGGCAAGCCACCCTTTTCCGACTGAGAACCATGGCCTCGGATTTGGAGGTGCTGATTCTCATCCCAGCCGCTTCACACTCCGCTGCAAACCGTCCCAGTGTATGCTGAAGGTCCTGGTCTGATGGGGCCGCACGACAACATCATCCGCAAAAAGCTGAGACGAAATCGTGTGGTCCCCAAACCCCAAACACCCTCCAGCCCCTGGCTGCGCCTAGAAATTCTGTCCATACAAATTATGAACAGAACCGGTGACAAAGGGCAGCCCTGCCGGAGTCCAACATGCACCGGGAACAAGTCTGACTTACTGCCGGCAATGCGAACCAAGCTCCTGCTCCGGTCGTACAGGGACCAGACAGCCCTTAGCAAAGGGCCCTGGACCCCATACTCCCAGAGCACCCTCCACAGGACTCCGCGAGGGACACAGTCGAATGCCTTCTCCAAATCCACAAAGCACATGTGTATTGGTTGGGCAAACTCCCATGAACCCTCCAGCACCCTGGAGAGGGTATAGAGCTGGTCCAGTGTTCCACGACCGGGACAAAAGCCGCACTGTTCCTCCTGAATCCGAGGTTCTACCATCGGACGAATTCTCCTCTCCAGTACCCTGGCATAGACTTTCCCGGGGAGGCTGAGAAGTGTGATCCCCCTGTAGTTGGAACACACCCTCTGGTCCCCCTTCTTAAAAAGAGGGACCACCACCCCGGTCTACCACCCCAAATGTACTGTCCCTGAACGCCACACGATGTTGCAGAGGCATGTGAGCCAAGACAGCCCCACAACATCCAGAGAGTTGAGGTACTCAGGGCGGATCTCATCCACCCCCAGTGCCTTGCCACCAAGGAGCTATATAAAACATCCAGCAAAAAATGTATCTTAACACAAGCAAAATGCATTGACATACATTCAGGTTTGCTTCTCTGTTAGTATCTCCACAGCTGTAGGTCTCTGTCAGTGCATTATTCAGAAAACTCCTTGGTAGCCAAATGAAGAGGCAAACACAGATAATGATGATGATGATGGTCATGACATACATAGTTGAACCACTTCAAGAGGAATGCCAGCCTAAGGTGAGAAAATCTTAAATTTGTGTAAAAACAATCTTATGTAAATTACGTACAGGATTACTGTAATTGAGCTTACTTCAGAAGACCTAAGGCAAGGAGTGCCTTAATATTGTCTTGATTGTGGTCAGAGGTGGACAAAGTACACAACTTCCTTACTTGAGTGAAAGTACAGATACTACTGGTCAAATATTACTCCGTTACAAGTAAAAGTTGTAAAAACCAATTTTTACATAAGTAAAAGTACAGAAGTACTTGTTTTTAAAAGTACTTAAGTATCAAAAGTAAATGTCAATGCATTGTTTTATTATTGTTGCATTGTTGTATGTAATACTTACAGTACCTAATGCCTCTAAATCTATGCCTGCGTATACCTACCCTCATAACAAATTTATTTCTAGAACACAGTTCTAGAATACAATACAGATTTCAAGCGACAAAAAACGAAACATTTAACATTCATTAGTTCATCCTGCGAATCCATACTCCAGGTAAAACGCCACATTTTAAATTCCAGGTGAATTTTCATGTGAAAATGGCTATGCGGTCACTGTGAAATGTATTACCACAGTTGCATACATTTTAAATTTTCCACAATGCAATGTCTACATGCGTGCATGTTTTAATCCTCGTAATGAACAACAAAAACTGCTCTATAATGATTTCCCCTCAGAGGTAAATCAATAATTGCAGAGCTACAAAAGACTTTTTTGTCCTAAAATGGTAATTAGCACGGGTCTTGACCTCCCTCATGGCATCTCTCAGTCGCCCATCTGAGAGCCAGGGCATGTCCAGAGCTGACACTTAATGACGCTAACATTACACACTCGCTGAACATTGTCGGGCTTTTGTCTTCATTCACATCGAAATGAAGTTCTTGGGGCCCACGTTTATCAATCATGGTGGGGCTCCAGCTGTTCGCCAGTCTTTGGCCTGACTTCAACAGCCGCGCTTACAAATTGTCTCTGAATAGTGTGGAGCTCTGCCTCCCCACCCTTCCACCCCCTTTTTGTCACTGTCTCCTGACAAATGTTCCACTGCAGCTTTTCCCAGACATGGCCGACCCTACCTTCTGCTCCTCGCCATTCAGAGGGGGGTTCTGGCCTCATGTTCCTCTCACAAGATGAGCATAATCTGCAATGCTAGCCATTCAGAAATGCGTAGTGTTGTGATGTCGTGGCGTTCATTTTGTCTTGGGTATCAAGAATGACACTGAAAGAGAACATGAGTCACCTTTATTTATATAGCGCTTTATACAATACAGATTTCAATTTCAAAGCATATTCACAGTAATAAACAGGAAAATAATGATCAATGATGCAAACTTCATCAAATATGAGATAAATTCAAATTCTGCTGTAAAGCAGCTTTACAGAAGAGTGTCATTATTCGGCTCAAGTCAGTTTGTGTTGGTTCAGTTCAATAATTGTGTAAAGTTAATCAATTATGAAATTAGTTTAATTCAGCTATAAGCAGAAGGCAATCGTTTCGTTCAGTTCGAATCAGTTCAGTGTTGATTCAGTTCAGTGTCGATGTTGCAAAATTTGTCAATTATCAAACAAAGTCAGATATATAAGATCGTATGAAAAGGACAGATTTGATAGAGATACTCAAAATGAAGTATTCATAATGGTCGACTGATGCATTAATTATGAATTGCTTGATAAGATGTGTTTATCTCTCTTTACTACTCTCTAGATCTCCTGCTACCTGACGTCCATCAAACATTTCTCTTGAGTTAGGCTGGCAAAACACAAAACAAAAGAAAACAAAAATCAACATGAGTGAAGACGAGATGCGTCTGCATCAGAGGGCTGAGTGACTGATACAGTTTCTCTTTCACTGTGCTTCGAAAAGTGAAATAATTAAGATAGATGGGCAGATGAATTAGTTGTCTTCCAAGGTCAAACGCTGATTGCCTTATTACTCTATTACTCCACTGTTGTGAAACTGTTACCGCTGACACTTTTTCATGATATTCTTTACATCCACAAAAGAGAAAGGAATGAGTGAAGAAGTGAGAGAGATACAAATTGATTGTTTGGCGGCCAAATCAGTCATAGTCATCTTGGGTGGAAGGATTAATGGGTCTGATGGCTGTTGCAGGTTCAGGCAGGGAGACGGGCAGAAAACAAGAGAAATTGGTTTGGGCCCCCGGGAGCTGAATCGATGTGAGTAGCATGTAAGCAGTGCACTGTTGTTGTGTGTGTGTGGAATGAGAGAGAGATATAAGGCTGTGACACATTTGTTTTTTTAATTAAACGTATTAAAAACAATTGTTCTAGAATAACACTATATTACTGAAATATTTTGGGTTCAATATAAGCTCAATCAGCAGCATTTGTGGTATAATTTTGATTACCTTGACAATTAATTTCCACTTTCCCCTTCTTTTTCCTAAAAATAAACAAGTTTATTTTGAAAGCACCTTCAGTGGAAGTAAAGGGGGACTATGGTTTTGGAGGATTTATAAGTAAAAACGTGAAGCTTATCATTTTTTATAAAACACTTGCATCATTTCTTCTGTTAAAACGTGTGTATTATTTGATCTGTGAAATTGTTCTTTTCATTATCATGGTCAGTTTTTGGATTTTATGCGTTACATGTCATGTCAAATTTTTTTTTTAAAGTAGAAAAGGTGTGACCAGTTTTGTTCACATTAAAATCAAGGTAATATGCATATTTATGTTATTTACTATATATGTAAAACATGTTATGTTTATGGATTGGCCCCATTGACTTCCATTGCTAGTGTCTTACTGAACCCAGATTTTTGCTGCTTCTTTTTTTTTTTTAAGAAAAGGAGAGACAAATTGAAATTCAATTCTGTGAAAATCAACATTGTGCCACAAATGCTGTTGGTGAACTCGGGTATTGAACCCGCAATATTCATTGAAAGTGAGTATGATTGAATATTAAATGACAAATGTATTTATTTTTCTAATTCATGTGCAATAAAATCTTCTTTAGATGACATCGATGATTCTGATGTGTTTTTTCTCAGCTCCAGGTTTCCTCAAGTCTTCCAGAAATGGGCCCAAGGAGGTTAGCAGCTGTGACAAAAATCAAAATCCATTTTCTGTGGCCAAATGTAATGAGGACCAAATGGTGGATGTTCCATTCATCTCTCCGGCCTGTCTGAGCACTCTTAGGCCACAGGCAGCAGGCTTGTGAAGGCAGGTGTGAAAGCTGCGGGGAGTCTTATGAGCAACCCCATGATGCTCTATGTACAGGCATGGCATTTTTGCTAGTGTTTTTATTGGATATATAGTTATTTTATATGTCTATTTTTATTAAATCACCACATCAATCCATGTGTGTGCAAGATAAATCGCTCTGGTTAGAGGTCCGTCTAATCAGGCATCACAAAATAAACTCTATTCTATAGCTTCAGGAGTGGGACGTTGTTCCCTTGAAATTGTTCCTATTTGTGGACAAAATAGGGTTTGCTTCGCATACTGAAAAACAACAGATGAAAATTGCTCCAGGATTATGACTGAGAGCCCCTCTTCAATCTTCAGAAAGCACACCCACACAAAATCTGGCTGAGCAATTCACTATGGTGAAGTTAGACCTTTTGTGCGACCAGAATATATTTCTCTCCTTCACAACCGAATTCATGTAAAATTAATCAACACCCCACTGTAATTCCAAATATTTGCCACACGGACTGATTGGGGTCAACGGCTCAGTTTGACATCAGGAGAGCGCAAACTCCCCATCATGATTGATTGCCAGCATAGTCACACATATTATTATGAAATGAGTTTATTAGCTTTGAATCTGTTGGTTATGCACCGCTGTTTTAGGCCTTGTGTGCAATTTTCAGAGGCAAGCGTGGATCACGAGAGTCATGAAGGCTTGATGATGTCATTTTGGAACTCTCACCTGGTTAATCTGGAAGAACTCTTGTTACAATAGTGATAAAATAGGCCTGAACTACAGGAGATTTCTGCCTGTGATTTGTATTTAGACTGAACACTCGGGAATCTCACTGAGCACCAGTCAAGGCTCGTTATTCCCTCAGATAAACAGGCAGGTCAATCATAGACCACCAAGCCAATTCCCAATTCCTCTATTTTATTTTACACTTTTTTTTGTGTGCCATATTTATGTTGCAATCTTCATCATGATTTAGCATGGCAGTCATAAATCATAATTGCAAAGACTATAGAGGCACCAATTTACTTGCGGATAATAAGGTCTTTGTATTTATAGCTACGCTGGCAGTATATTTTATGGTTATGATCATGTGCATTACACCAGTTCATTACAATCAGCATTAGCTTGAGCTTTTTAATAGAATAAGAAGAGTGCCAAATGCCTGTCTATTTTAACCTGCCTTTCTAATAGCCATATGAGTCTGATAACTAAGCAAAGAGCTTGGCGGTAATGAGTCATGTGACACCTCATGGGGTTTTCCATAACTATTTGAGTAAATGTTCGCTCTCCACCAACAATTCCCTTTGATGACCCATTAGATATTATGGGGCAGCCTGCTGTGAGCTCCATAGTCATGATCTTACCAAATTTGTGTTTAATGCCCAAGAGACAAACAATAACTAGATTTTAAAAACTTCCTGACATTATCTCTCATCTGAAAGTCTAACAAGTTTTGTTGTGAGTGACACTTCATTTTTTAGATATTAGTGATATTGTTGTTGCTACTGGGAAACCCCGCCACAAGGAAACAGTGAAGGAAAAAAAAAAAAAACCTATATGACACCCCAATGCTTTTAATCTGACATTTTATTTTATTCTATACTTTTGCATAATTTGTGGCCTTTTTCTTTTGGTATTTTAATTTAAACAACATATATTTCAATTTATTTTTTATGTTGTATTTATGTTTAGATTATGTATATTCGATTTTACATTTGAACAGTTTTCATATATATTCCTCTTATTTCATATTTCCAAATGTTGTGGAGGCTACTCATATCCTTATTACACCTATTAGAGAGAGAGAGAGAGAGAGAGAGAGAGAGAGAGAGAGAGAGAGAGAGAGAGAGAGAGAGAGAGAGAGAGAGAGAGAGAGAGAGAGAGAGAGAGAGAGAGAGAGAGAGAGAGAGAGAGAGAGTCACTTTAAGGGCCCTTCTCCTTTTGTTTTGAGATGCATTTGTTTCATTGAATCTTTTGCCACTGAAGCCTGATCAACTTCCATTGCAGATGCTTGTCAGCTGGGGAATATATAAAGATAAATGGTATTATGTTAAATTCCACTTAATGACAAATTTTTAATTTTCTGAACACGGTCATTTTCTGGCTTGTGAATCAAGTGTAAGGAGCTAATTACGTGAGGATCTGAGCAAAAATAACTCCTCATCTCAAGGATAATGGAAGAGAAATGTTGTAGATTAATGGCACTATTTATCTTTTTTAAATTTCTATCTTTCTCTGGTGATAGCTGTGCTCCCCAAGGAAAATATTCATAAAATGAAATTGAAGTCGTAACTTAATAGGTTATTAAAATTTTTGAGCGCATATCACTTCTTCTTTCGCGGCGCTGTAAATTTAAATTGAAGTTTGTGGCGTTCGGAGTCACCAGCAGAGTTTTTTATGATGGCACAATAGAGGGGGAACATGCATCTTTGTCAGGAGGTATTTGCTATTCTAATTTTATGGCAGGCCAGATTATCAAAAAGGAATGTCATGGCGCGGGCTGCTGACAACACCTCAGCCTTCAGCCATGTGTTTCCATTAGGCGACTGAGCCGTCCGGGGGTTTGTTCGTCCCATTATTTTCCATTTCTGTCTTTTATCTTGATTTAAAGTGCAGGCTCACTGCATATTCCTGTGCTGTCATTTCCTTTCCTCTGCCAGAGCCTGAGATTGGGCAGCACAGGGCGCCTCAGCACAGGGACTCGCTCTCTCTCCAGGGGCCGCGTGTAGAGCGATTCAAGGTGGAATATCTTTAGCCCGCCTATATGTTTGGAAACACTGTGCGAATGAGAGATGGTGATGGAAAGAGAGAGGGGCCATCATCACCGCTCTGGCGTTTTTCCTCAAGGTCAGGGGGCCAAATTTATTTATTTCCCTGAAAGTTACGATGGAATTTTACTGACTACTTTGCAGTAATGATGAGGGACATCAGCAGCCATAAATTTCTCTTGCCATTTCTTTCGCCAATGATGAACCATTTTTTATTTAGCCTTCAAGGACGTTACTTACACGGTATTTGTATGGAAGCGGTGTTATATGTAATGATATCCATTTCATAGCGTCATAACCCGGTGGAAAAAAAATTAAGTAAAACTGACTAGGGTGCATGATATTCATATTCATCTGGAGCTATTGTAATAAATAGTAAATGTCAGACAAAATTTGTGATGTCCTTGTCTGTTTTGCAACTAAAATGCTTGTTTTTGCTTTCTCTTCCAGGATATTAAATAGTTATTTTTTAATAGCAATTAATTAAAAAGGATATGTATATATATATATATATATATACATATATTTATATTATTATATAAACAAATTATATATATATATATAAAATACATTTGTTTATATAATAATATAAATATATTTATGTAATTAACTATATATTCACAATAATATTTTTTGCATTAGACTTGTATTTCTATGATGTAATCTACAGATTGGAAATCAAAGGAGTGTCCCAGCTGGAAATGTGGCTTAACAATATCATCAACTTATTTTTTTTCCCCAGTACCTTTAGAAATCCACAGATTTTCTCAATCTAAAGGTCATGTAATTAGCATAACATCATGATGTCTTTTATTGATTGGCTATTTAAAATCCCATTGTGGTCCTGGGAGTAATGTTAATGGGTAGAAGCCACACCTCTTTATTGCCTCTATTATGATATCCCATGAGCCCTTGTGAATATTCCTCAGTGGGCACTCTTTTGTAGTTCATTAATGGTCAATTACTTAGAGCTCATGGGCCCCACTGTGTCATCAACAGCGACACCAGCCAACCCTCTTACCAATCCCCGCTGCCTCCTAAACAAATAATAGAAAACCTTTCTGTGCGCAAAGGCTAGAATCACAGCCTCTTAACCAGACGATCCCAGAAAACCTGAAAGTTCCTGGTCCCCTGTTATTTGAAAATTAATACCATTTTGTTTCTCAATTTCAGGACGTTCAGCGTACATTTGTCATCTGAGAGATAGCAGCCTCCATTGTTTCCCCCAAGGATATCCCCCCCCCCTCCCCCGTCTCTACTTAGAGATTCTGCATGCTGAAAGCTTAAAGTAGAACATATTGGAATGTTCAGACAATCCTGACCTGTTTATGCAAGCAGAGTTGATAGGTTGTCAGGCCCCCAGCGAGAGGGCCCAGAATGAGGCGAGCTATCCTTTAAACTGCCTGCCTGATATTTGTGGATAATAAAAGAAATAAATCAGACAATAGGCCTGAATATTTTATTTGCTATCCATATTCCTTATGGGGAAAAATTATACAGAAATGTAAAAACAGCAATTTCGCCCTGGCCCCTGACGGAATTGTAACACAGCTGCTGCTGTTTTCATGTCTAAAGACAAAGTGCATTCTTGCCACTCGGCTAGCTTGTGCTATATGTGCTATAACTCTGTTCAGCAGGCTCTTATCGTGTTTTGTAATGGGGCCATGGCTACCCCTTTACACACATCACCCCCTTCAGCCTCCTAGAATTTCATCCTTTTCCTTTAATGTCCTTTCTTACAGTGGTTGACTGTTTTGTATATATGTCAGTGTTACAGTATCTTAGCATCGCCTATAAACATGGACCTGAGGCCTAGCCGGGTCACGCTGACCAATGTCCGTAGCCTATTGCCCTTCATTTAGCATCTCTCGTCTTGCTGTGCCATGCTGCGTCTCTGTGAAAGATGCCTCCATCAGCAGAATAGTGGTGACAGTCAGAGGGGAATGAGCTCGTGAAGTGATTACGAGAACGGGTGGCAGTCATTCAGACCCCCGAGATGACAGCACATTCAGAGGGAAAGTGCCCGACTGGCATTAATCCCGGGAAAATCGCTGGCCTCCAGGAATGCATTGTGGGCCTGATAAGATGGTCGCTGTAATATGCACTTAATCTGCAGGTCTCCAATGAGCCTGCTTGTATTTCCAAACTGGAGGGAGCCATTGTTGTGAGGCCTGCAAGATCAGGGGCTAAATTGTAAGGTTTTATTATATTTTAATGCAAAAATGTGTACTACACCTCATCTGTGCAAAGCTATAAAATCGCAGGCTTGTATAGAAACATTTAAATGGAGAATTCTGTCATAATTTGCTCACCGTCATTTTTCTTTTGTGGTACTGAATGCTTTTCCATAGTTACAATGAATGGAATTGGATCTTTCAAGCTTCAAAAAGTTTACAAAAGAACCGTTAAAGTATCAAAAAGCAGTCCGTATGACTCATGTACTGCATTCTACATAAAAAAGTCTTTTTTTAAAGGGATAGTTCACCCAAAAATGAAAATTAGCCCATGATTTACTCACCCTCAAGTCATCCTAGGTGTATATGACATTCTTCTTTCAGATGAATACAATCGGAGTTATATTAAAAAATATCCTGGCTCTTCCAAGCTTTATAATGTCAGTGAAAGGCCGTTTCTGTTTTGAAGCCAATAAAAGTGCATCAATCCATCATAAGAGAACTCCACACGGTGCCGGGGGGTTATTAATAAAGGCCTTCTGAAGCAAAGTGATGCGTTTGTGTAGGAAAAATATCCATAACGGCGCGTCTCAGGTGCTGCGGTTATCACTCCGCCCAAGTAGCAGTGCTTCGCCTTCAGAGAATAGTTCCCAGTATTTATACGGTTAAAATATGTCTGTCTCATGTGACTTTGTTTTTTGTACACTCTGTGACTATACAAATCACAACATGTAAATAGGAAAATGTTTGCGTTATTTTGTCACTTATTTGGATTAGTATGCTAGCTGCAACCATTTACATCAGTCTTTGTGCTAAGCTAGGCTAGCGGTGGGTGCGTCAAACAGACTTATAGCACGCACGAAGATGAAAAAGGTATGTATAGACTTATCTAACTCTGGGGGATAAGGAGAATAGGCTAAAGTGTTCCTTAAGTCTAAAGCGCAACTTATGCGAGTAATGCGACATACTAGGCGTGTATGGCCATTT